CTCTCCTGACACTGGTTCTGGGACGTTTCAGCTCTCTGTGGTGCCCTCTGAGCTGGGGCCACTCCAGGGTGTGGGCACGAAATGGCTAAATAGTAGCACCTGCCGAGCTGCCGCAGTCGGGAGAAGAGAAGACATGGAGTGACGCGGGAGGGACCCTGGAGTCTGTTTTTTCCCAATAGGAGGAGAATCCACCTTCAATTTGGACTCCATTTGGGGAATGTCTCCTTCTGCCAAAGGCGTACACAATGCCGCTACCCTCCCAGGGTGACCAATATCCGGGTTTGCTGGGAACTGAGTGATTTCCTGGAACACGGGGCTTCCAGGGCTAAAACTAGGCAGTTCTGGGCAAATCAGGACGGTTAGTCCCTCAATATGACCAGGAGACAGAATACAGACACAGGTCACAGGGCACCCAGGTTAGACGGAGGCAGATAGAGAACCCGACAGCAGCTTAACCCGTTCTTGTGTTAAGCAGACAGCATCCTGGTGAACTCCATGGAGGAGGAGGCCCTCCTATCAGCACCACCACATCATATCCCAGAATGGGAACCCTCAAGTAAATGGGAATGTAGAGACAAAGAACGCTGATTCAAGAGACATGGCATCCTGGCTCAGAGGAGTGGGATGAGAATGGCCTGGGGCATGGAAGAGGAACTAAATCCAGAGCTGCACAGGGTGGTTCTTGCAGCCATCCCTGAAGAAGGGTCCCACCAGCGCCTGAGAGCTCACGAGCTGAAAGTCCTTATCAGAGGCCACTGACAATCACCTAGGCTCAGAGGTACGTAAGTAGGGTCAACGGAACCTTAAAGTACAAGGAGTTTTCTTTCACTCCTGGGTTTAGCTTCATCACTCTCAACCAGTCATCCTGGTGTCTTCACAAGGCCTCATGTTAAAGAGCTCCATTCGGGAACTGCTGTGTAGATATATCTGGATGGACTGGACTTGTGCCAAAGGACAGCAGTCAAGATTCCGGTGCTGAGAGCGGACAAAGTCTGGTAAGTGGTTCATCAACATTACCACACACAGAGTGTTCCTCCACCTGTGGGAGCAGGAACGAGGCTACCACATCGGACATCCTTAAAGGAGACACATGAACTAATAAAGAAGCTACTTGATTTTTTACATTCTTCTCAAGAATATTTCTCTCAGATAGAATAAGTTTGTCCCCCAAAACCTACACTCTGATTGATGTGGTTCATTAATGTTACTTTAAAAAAAAAGAAAGAAAAAGAATCAATGGATCCAGGTTTAGAAGGTTGCTTAAAGGTCTTTACTTTGGCTCTTATCCAAATATTGAACGTCCTATGTAGCATTTCAGTCAAAAAGACCCCGGCCTTCCGTATCTCTAGTTACATGGAATTCATTAATTTTGAAGCCACTCTTTTGCTTAATGGGATAGTTCTGATTATAAGAAACTTATCCATATCTGGGCCCCTGGACTGCTAATCCAGGCTCTAGTTCTCTGTGAGTGTTGTTCCTGCCCTCTGACAGCCCTGCAGGGGTTCACCAGACAGGACCAGCTCTTTCAACCATTGCTCACTAGACACTTCACTATCCTGGGCATCTTAGTTGTGCGATGAAACTCCAGGCACAAAGAAACTGTCAGGATTGAGATCCAAGCTTGGAAAGAAAAAGGATGCATGTTCTAGTTAATGTTTCCTTGATTGATCTGACTTCCAGATGTGCTGATGTTCCAGTAGCTAATTTAGATTCCATGGGATTTTTAAAAATTCTTCTTTTTAAAAAAAAAAAATCCTCACCCGAAGATGTGCTTAGAGAGGAGAAGGGGGTTGGGGCGGGAGAGAGAGGGAAACATCAATGTGAGAAAGAAACATCGATTGGCTGCCTTCTGTACATGCCCTGACCGGGGATCAAACCACCAACCCAGATATGTGTCCTGAATGGAACTGACAACCTTTCAGTGCACAAGACAACGCTCAACCAACTGAACCACTCCATCTGGGCAGGATTTTTAACATATATGATCATGTCATTTATGAATAACGACTTTTATCTATTCCTTTCTGATACTTATACCTTTTATTTCTTTACTTACCTTTTTGCACTGGCTCAGACGTCCAGCACAATGTTGAATAAAAGTGGTGAAAGAAGATAGGCTGTCTACCTCCTGATCTGAGAGTAAAAGGCATTCAGTTTTATACCATTAAATATGCTAGCTGTAGATTTTTCATATATGCCCTTTATTAAGGTGGGGATGTTCTTTTCTATTTCCCATTTTTTTCTGAGAGACTTTAATATGAACTCTACTTTGGAATTCTAATAGGATATCTTGGTGAGTATAAAATTCTAAGCTAGGAGGCTTTTTCTGTTAACATTGTAATGATGTTATCCCATAGTCTGTTGGCTTCCAGGGTTTCTATTGAAAAGACAGCTCTCAGTCCTATTGTTGCTACATTAAAAGAAAAGTTTCTTACTTTCTGTGGCTATTTTTTAGTTTTTCCCTTTAACATAGGTTTTTAGAAGTTTGACTATGATGCAATGTGGTTCCTTTATGGTTTTTTGTTGGTGTATTTTTTTGGCTTAGGATTTGCTGAGCTTCTTAAATCTGTAGGTTGATTTGTTACCAGTTTTGGAGATTTCTCAGACATTATTCTGTACAAACTGTTTCTGCATCATTCTTTTCTCTCCTACTTTGGGGACTTAAAATGCATGTATGTTAGATCTTTTGAACAGGTGCCACAATCATTTGTGCTCTTTTAAATTTCTAATTATTTTTTCCTCTGTGATTCACTTTGGTTATTTTCTATTCATCTGTCTTCCTTTTATTGATCCTTTCCTTTGTGTACCCGTCCAAAAAAGTTAAGTTCACATATTATATATTTCAGTTCTGAAATGTTCGTTCATTCTTTACTATAGATTCCAATTCTCTCTTGAAATTCCTCATTTCTTATATTTTGTCTATCTTTTCCTCTATATGGTGAAGGGGAAGACTATATTCATCACAGTTCATTCAGGGGCCCTGTCTTCTAATTGTGATACCTCAATCATCTGTGTCTTTGCTTCTACTCTTTTATTTCTCCTCATTTGGTCTGATATAACTTTTTTAACCTTGACTCATATTTTTTTTATTGGGTATTGGACATTGAAGATGAAAAAGTTGTAAAGCTCTAAATGATTTATCTTTCTCCAAGAAATGTTGTATTCTACTAGCAAACTGATTACCAATGGATCATCCATGTTGTGGCTTGATTGTAGGCTATGTGATGCCTCATCTACTCTCATTTGGTTCTTATATTTAAGGTTTAGCCATTATTCCTAGAGCCTGGCATTTCCAGGGTCGCAACGGAAGTCCTGGGGAACTTACCAAGGTCCATCCACCTAGATAGGGCTTGGGTTCCAACCTCTGACTCTCCAACGTCATGTGGCTGCTCAAATCTTTCTGCAGCTCTGTAGCCTCCAGCTGCTATAGTCTCCTAGTTTCTCCAGGTCTTTCCCTACACATGCACCTTAGGAGTTGGTCAAGGACTTGAAGGGAATTTGCATACAGATTGTGATATTCTTTCTCACTGTAAGTACCCTGCTCTCCAGGATTTTGCCCCGCAAGCGTCAGTCACTTTGATTCCCCAAATTCCAACTCCATATCTTCTCAGCCAAGGGAGACTTCCCTTTTCTAATTCAGCTCTATTCTCCAGTCCTGCACATTGGGAAATGCCCTCAGGTAAAAAGCTGGAGTCCTGTGGAACTCACCTCATGAGCCTTCCTTTTTCAAGGACTGCAATTCTTCAAGACCTGCCCTTGGTTGTTCTCTGAAGCCTTCAAACAATTGTTTTATATCTTGTCCAGCCTTTCTAGTTGTTTTCACCAGGAAGGTTAGTTAAAACAAGCTATTCTGTCATAGCCAAAACTTTAAAGTCCTCTTTGAATTTTTGAGGTGACATGTGCTAGTAATAGGAGAATCACAGCACTCGACCTAGAATTTTAGAGCGAACCCGTACTTTTTTCTGTAGACAACTATTCTTCTTTTGAAAAATAGTTCCTGGTGCAGACTGAATGCCTGACCAGGGAACACTTAATGACTAGGGGACCCTAAGCTGTCCCTTATGTATTGGATATGAATTTGAACAAACAAAATATAAAATTGGATATGTACAGAAATATCCCATCATCAATTGCAAATAATAAATGTTATATTAGGTCAAGCAGATCTCAAAGGCATAAGTAAATTGCATGAGCAGTTGTCTTAGACTCCCATGACACACAATCTTGCTACATTGACACCTTTCCATCAACTCTAACATACATCCTCATGGAAAATGTCCTATAACCAACTCCCTCAAAAAGAAAAAAATTCAGGCCTGATTTACAAACAGTTTTTCAAAATATGCTGAGTCCGCCCAAAAGTGGACTGCTGCTGCATAACGGCCCCATTCAGAAGGGCCTGAACGATCAACAAGAAGGTAAATCCTGTCAGTGAGCAGAATCTTGGGCAGTGCATCTGGCTTTTTTCCTGGTAGGTTTAGAAGATGCAATGGAAAGAGTAAGGATCTATACAAATTTATGGGCAATGGCTAATGGTTTGGCTGGAATATGAAGGGATTTGGAAAGAACAAGATGAGAGGATTCATAAAGAGGGAATCTGGAGAAGAGTTAAGGTATTAGATCTCTCAGAAGGGGCACAAATTGTAAAGATACTTGAGTCCCATGTAACTATTTACCAAAGGGTATCCATGGTAGAAAAAGCTTTCCAGCATCATCAAGCGTAGGCAAAGTCAGGTAGACAAGATGATTGTCCCATGGAGATCAGTCAGACTCATAATGAGAATGAAGGTTACACCATTGGAGTAAAGTGCTGGGCCGTTGAGGGCTGTTAAAGATGTTCTCCTCATTATCAGCAAAGCCTAGGGACATCCTTGCCCCCTCTCGTTAGGAGATGTGAGGGAGTCCATCCCTGGGGAATGGTGGGTGCAGTGCCACATAGGAGCACCATCTTAAGGGAAGTACCCCAGGAGGCCTCTTTGAAAGGAGGGGCTGAGGGTTGAATGGGCTATGTCTCAGCCTTCAACAAGGCCTTGCACATAGACACCACAGGAAACACCAGTATGGACCAGGCTTAACAGGTGAGAAGATCTAGGGATGGAGTGCCCAGAGGTAAGCAGAGAAAAATGGGGTGGGGAGGTAGGGGCAGGGAGGCCAGAGCCTATAAACCAGGGATCAAGAAGACTTATTGGGTGGACACAAAAGGCAGGCAACTAGGATCCATGATGGCTGTGCATACATGGGCTGTGAGATCTTAGACCACATATTCTGGGAGGTCTGGGTAAGAGACGGTGCTCACAGGTGGGATTCAAATCACCTTGGCCAACAGCTTCCCACAGGAAAGCAAGACTGATGAGAGTAGTAACCATTGGAAACACTAGCAAACTTTGCACTCTTACATGTTCCAGGTTCTGGTGTAAGCTTTGTCCAGAACTCTCTCTGTGAAGACTCACAACAACCCCAGGTCACAATGAGGGAAGGGGGCTGAGAGGGGAATGGCTTGCCCAAGGTCACACAGCTGAAGGCAGGAACTGGGATTGCAGTTCAGTCCTTTCTGACTCACAAATCCACACACTTAAGCACTGAGGTCCACGTGACATAACGAATGTAAAGAACCCACTGGCAGCAGATGCTCACTAGGTGGACTTTTCCTCTAAGCTCCTCAGTGAACCAATGAGAACACCGAGGCTCAGGGCCCCCAAGTCACAGCAGTGAGCGGCAGAACTCACAGCTGACAGGCGGGGCTCAGTCTCTTACAGCAGGTCAGCTACAGAACAACCTCTCACCAGCCATGGCCTTGGACAATTGCCTGTCCTTTTCTGATCCCCAGTTTCTTGTTTGTTGAAGAGGTATAACCACACCCTGGCAGGGCTGGATGAGAAGTGATGATGTACATAAAGTATGTAACGTGCACACTCAGGTGATGGGTTGTTCGGTCCTTCTTTGTCCCCACCAGCACCGTAACTGGCTCACAGACTATCCTGATGAGGAGACCCTGCTGGGGCAAGTTCTGTGCCCTGAGAAACAGCATCTTTTCGGCCCTAAGCACGGGCTGCATCACTCAGGTGCAGTATGTAATTTCAAATAAAACAAGAACGGTGCTTTGAAATATCAGATGTGAAATTCTTTTGGGAAGTATTTTTGGTGCCCCTGCCTTGTGATGACCCAGCACATGTCTGCTCTCCCTGCTGGATAGTCCAGCCCCACCCGGCAGTGAGTAGCATGTGCCACCTCTCCACCAGGGTCTCAGCACCCCTAGCTCCATCTATAAAGCAGTGGGACAGAGGAGGCGGGAGAGGGGCAGAGCTGGACTAGATGGCCCCTTAGGACTTCTCTGGCTTTGGCCCTCTTTGTTTCTACCCCTCAGATCCCCTACTCTGCCTCACCTGGACCAGTCAGCATGACTGCCTCTCTGAGAACAGAATTGCCCAGGGCAGGGCAGTTTGTACCCCTTCAGGTGTGAGTAAAACCTGGTCATGAACTTGTTGGATGGGGTTTGGTTAACTAAGGGATAACCCTTTCAATTTGGGACAAAACAGCTTCACTCTTTTGCTAGGTCTGAAGGCGGGGGCCGACTTCTGGATCATTATTTCAAACAAGGATTTGCATTGTCAGGTACCGATTCTCAACTTAGTACTTACCATATGCGGACTCAGAGATAAAATTCTGAAATAGAGATTTGTCTCATGTTATCCATGGAAAAAAAACAGAAAGGGAAATAGAAAACCTTGGTCCTGATGTTTTCTCCCCTGTAAACTTGAACTTCTGGATTCTCCAGGGGGGGAAATGGCATAGAAGAAAGAGTCCTGTCCTAAGAATCAGAGGCCTGAGTTCTGGTGGTGACTCTGCAACCAATGCAGGTGGCACCTGAGAAAGACCCTGCTCAGTCCCTGGCCTTCAGGGGAAATTGGTTGGCCTTGAAAATAAAATAAAATAAAAAGATTTTTCCAGTTTTTACATTGGTGGTTTTATGCATAAGAGGTGTTGTGAGAAGAGAAAGAAATTAGAGGGGACTCCAGGAAAATCACAGGGACACTGCTCACGGAATCACCAGGATCAAAGAGGGAGCCGTACCACTGTCAACATGAACTTGCCGGGGGTGGGCGTGGGGTAGTTGCTTAGTCTGAGGGACAAGTCTAAAGTGGAGGGGGGTGGATCAGCACTTCCTTTAGCTCAGGTCCCCCAGGTCTGGGGGTTGAAAACACTCCCTTCTGATTCCTCTGGGAAGAGTTCTTTGGCTTTGAGCAGCTACTGCAAACAGATCTTCAGTTCCTATCAACCATGCCTCCCAAGCCTTCCCAGGTCACATGACAACTTCTGACCAGGGACTTGGGAAGCCTGCTGGGCAGTGGGCACTCAATGGTTAAACAGGAGCACCTGCTGGGCTGCAGCAGCCAGTAGGGAGGTGAATTCAATGGAGCAACACAGACATTGTCTTGGATTCTCTGTTGCTACCCACCTGCGGGAGAACCCATTATGAGTTCAGACTCTAATCAGAAATGACTCTTCCCACCAAGAGCATGTTCATTGTCATTTCCCTCACTGTAGCATGACAAAGGCCCCACACCCAGAGACAAGATACAGAGTACTCAACTTAGATGGAGACAAGCAGAACCATAGCACCAAGCAAACGAGAGAGAAAGGAGCCATTCCCTGGTTAATAACTATGGTGGAAAGACAACAGGTTGCTGTAAACCTTGGAGAAATCAGCCCTCCCTAGCAACGTGGTGACAAAGATGTCACCTTTTTTAAAACTTAAAGTAAATGCCAAAAGATAAAGAAGTGTAGAGGCCTGGTTTAAGAGATCTGATATCCCCAAATGATCAGATGGGATGTGGAAAGAGGACCAGTGGAAGTTCTTCCATAACACTTAACACAATTGCAGTTAAATAATTGTGTGGTTTATTGCTTAATGTTTCTTTCTCTGCTGCTAGAATTTCAGCTCCATGAGGTTGGAGACCTCTGTCTTGTTCAATGTGTCTACTACAAAACCATGTGTTATATGCTCCAGGTTTTGTATATCATAGGTGCTTTTTCCATACTTGGTTCAAAAAGAAAACAGGGAATTCTGGGATAGGATGAAGAGAGGGCCCATCATGTTTCTTTTAAAGTCACTGTAAATAAATATGGTTATATTAACTACACAGTGATCATTATTATTATTTTTAAAAATATATTTTATTGATTTTTTACAGAGAGGAAGGGAGAGGCCCTCCTCCTGCCCATCCCAGCAGTGGTGCAGACATCCCACATGGCTTTTAGTTCTGTGGCCCAGGTCTACCACTGCTTCTGTGACCACTTGGCTGTGGTCCAGGCTTCCTGCTCTGACACCATGGGCCAGACCCTCATGGGCTTCTGCATCGCCATGGGGGTGTCCTTCCTGCCCCTTCTGCTGGTGTTTCTCTCCTATGCCCATATTCTGGCCTCCATTCTTCACATCAGCTCCCGAGGAGGACGTTCAAAAGCCTTCTCCACCTGCAGCTCCCACCTCCTGGTGGTTGGCACATACTACTCCTCTATTGCCATAGCCTATGTGGCCTATAGAGCTAACCTGCCCCTGGACTTCCACATTATGGGCAATGTGGTGTTTGCTATTCTCACACCTGTCCTCAACCCTCTCATCTACACACTGAGGAATAAGGATGTCAAAGCAGCCATTACCAAAATGGCATGTCTCAAGGGCCTAAAGAATGCTGGGAAACCCTGATTCGTAGGTATAACTTGACCTATTCACAAACACCAATAACAATAGAGGGAAAAGTTGACAATTGAAGCAACCAGATAGTTAGAACAATAATTCTCAAAATATGGTCTTAAGTATTCCTCTGCTGTAATAAAATAATAATTTTCTTTCCTTAATTCACAGACAAAATGGATGGGAGTTTTCTGTTTCATTTTCAAGCTGTGAATCCCAACTTCACAAGATTGTGAATACAATTGTGGTCACATTTCCAATCACTCAAAGTATTTTGATTCTCAGAGACTCCAAGTATTTGACCAGCAATAAATTCAGTCTTTTTCCTTGTATCTCTTCTTCCGGTATTTCTAAACATCCCCAGGATTGTTGATACCTAGACACGAATCCATCTTGCCCTTATTGTTAGAACAGCACCTTAGAAACCCCCTTCAGGGATTAAAGTCTGACTGCTACCATTTCAATCCCTGTTGCCTAAAAATTCACGGCCACTACCAATATTTCAACACCAGTCACACAAGATATTTACCTCTAGACCCTCATGGGGCCACTCAAAAGCAGGCCCTTCCTCTAGCTTATGCTTAGGCAAGTGGCGCCCCTTACCAAACCTGTGTGGGCACCAAAGCATTACAGTTCTTTTGGTTCCCAGCCACACCAGAGTTTTCCCATCCATGACAATGGGGAGCTTAGTAGAGAAGTTTGCCCTGATCAGTAGGATCCTGGGTCCAGGACCTCTACTCTTTTTCAAAACACTGTCCTACGAATTCCTCTTTCTGGCTTAGTGGCCAGCCCCGTCTCCTGGTTCCCTTCCCCTATGCCTCATTTTCTCTTGAAGACCTGCTGAATTTAACCTAAGGGCTTGGAGAGAAATTGTTTCTCTCTCTACTCCACTACCACCCAATAAACAACTTCAAAATACCCTCACGTCACCACTAAAGCCCTGCTTTGTGCAACTCTCTTCTGGTATCTATTTCCATTTCAGTTCAGGGCTTTGGTTTCCTGGATGAACCTCATGACATCCTTTCATGTTCAGTTCCCTTTCTAGATGGAGCAATGAATTAACCACATGAAGAGTGGATCAGAGCAACATGGATTCCCAGGCTAATTCCACCCTCACACACTATTGTGGCTCCTCGTCACATTTTCCATGAGTGGATATGAAATAACAATGACAGCAATAATAATGTTTTTCACCTGGAGCTTTATCTGCTAATTGGCAAGTCCCTCTGTATTTCCAAAATTTAAAAAACAGTTTTAACTTCATGCATCAAAGGATACCACCAAGAGAGTGTGAGAAGACAACACACAGAAAGGGAGAAAATACATGGAATATATTTTCTTGCAAATCACATATCTGATAAAATATTAATATCCAGAATATATATAGAACTCCTACAACTCAACAACAACAAAAAACAAACAACCTAACTCCAAAAATGGGCAAAAGACTTGAATAGATACTCCTACAAAACAGATATACAAATGTCCAATAAGAACATGAGAAGATGCTCAACATCACCAGCCATCAGGTAAATTAAAACCATAATGAGATACCCACTTTGAACCCAGTAGGATGGCTATTATTAAAAAAATAGAAAATAATAAGCATTAGTGAGGATATGGAGAAATTGGAACCTTTGGGGGGAAAATGGTGCAGGCACTGTGGAAAACAATACAGAGACTCCTCAAAAAAAACCAACAAAATAAATATAGAAATACCAAATGACCCATCAATTCCTCTTCTGGGAATTGAAAGCAGGGCCCTAAGAGATATCTGTAAACCTATGTTTATAGTGGCTTTATTCACAATTACCAACTATCCACCAACAGATGAACAAATAAACAAAATGTGGTATATACATACAATAGAATATAGTTCAGGCTTAAAAAATAATAAAATTCTGATACATGCCACAACATGGATAAAACCCAAAGACATTATGCTAAGTGAAATAAGCCAGACACAAAAGGACACATCACATGATTCCACTTACATGAGGCATGAGGAATAATCAAATCATAAAGACTGAGAGGAAAACAATTGTTACAGGAGCTGGGGGTGGAGAGGGGAAGGGAGAGTCCCTGTTTGATGTCTACGGAGTTTCCATTTGGAAAGATGAAACGCTTCTGGAAACAGGCAGTGGTGATGGCTGCACAACACTGTGCATCGATTTAATGTCACTGTAGATTACATTTAAAAATGGTAAATTTTATATGACATATATTTTGCCACAATCAAAATATATTTAAAACACTGTTTCACCAGGCCCTAGGTTCCAGGCCCCTGGTCAGATGCCCACCCCTGGGTCATAAGCTGTGGCCAGAGGGAGGTATGTTGTTCAATCACATGGTTTAACACGGACACAAACAGTTGTGGAGCAGCTTGCCTTAAAAAGTGGGGTGGGAGGAAAGGCATTTGACACCTGCCGCACTTAGGGGAGTCCTTTCCCCATCTGTATCAGGAGACTGTTGTGAAGATTTGAGTGAGAGCAGGTAATTTCATCTCCCCAATATCTTGAGACGGCATCCGCTCCTCTGCGTCCCCACATCATCAACCCTGGGGCAGATGTCACCACCTTCTCTCTCCTGAATGAGCACAACGGTCTCCTCACTGGGCCCCCCGCCGGTGGGCCCGCCGTCCGTTCCATAAGTGGGCAGAATGGGTTTTCTGACAGACAAATCTGGTTACCTTACCACCCTCCACATAACTGGAAGGCTCTCGCTAATGTGGCCTGAAACGACCTCTTTGACCTCAAATCTCACCATTGCCTCTCTCACGGCAATTCTGAACTTCCTTCAGTTTCTCAAACACACCAAGTCCTCATTCTCACCAATGACTCACTCTTCTCTCTTCCCAAAGCCCTCTTCCTCTTTGTCTATGTCAGCTGGAATCTTACTCGGGCTTCTCCTGAAACATCATCTCTCAGGGGAGCCTGCCCTGGCACCTCACCCTGAAATGCGAGGTGGGTGCCATTCACATGTTCTCCCTCAGCAGTTTATAATCCCCCCCCCCACATGGTGGCACTTTTTTATTTCTGGACCTTAGGAGACGAGAGCTCTGAGCACATTATACCCATTAGCCTGTGCAAGCTCCTTGCTTGTTTTATTCATCTTCCTCTTTCTCTCCATCTCCCCAATTTCCATCCCATTCTCCTTTCCCCACTTAAGCATCCGTTCTGATGTGTTGGATGTACAACCATAAATATAAACATATCTTTGTAAAATATGTAATGTGCTATGTATGTACACTTTTAATTTATATGTGATGTTACACATCTCAGTTTATTTCTTACATTTGCATTCAGTTCCAAGTTTTAGATCTGCCTATGTTGCTGTTTATACATCTAGTTTCATTGGTACCAATTGTATAATATTCCATAGTATGACTTCATCACATCTTACTTTCTTCTCCTAGTGGGGGACACTGAAACCACCTCCAACTCTTTGCTACTACAATGTCTTCATAAGTGTCCTTGTGTATGTCCTTTCGTGGACCCCTGGAGGATTTTCTCTGGAACATAGGACAAGGAGTCGGGTTAGTCATCGGTTATGCATAAACTTGAGCCAAACATAGTCTCTCCTCATTATTTGCAGATTCTGTATTTGCAAATTTGCTTACTCACCAAACCCAAAACCAATACCCATGGCACTTTCAGGGTCACTACCGGACATGCCCAGAGCAGCAAAATATCTGAGCCACCCACATACATGCTCCCAGTTGAGGTCTAACAAGGCAACACTCTGCTTTCTGTTTCAGCTTCCACTGCATACAAGTGTCCTTTTCATAGTCTATTTAGGACCATGGTTTTTTGTTTTTGTTTCGAATTTTTTGTGCTGGAAGGGGGGCAGTAATTTTGCTATTTAAAATGGTACCCAAGCATAGTGCTGAAGTGCTGCCTAGTGTTCCTAAGCACAAACAGTGTGTGATGTGCCTTATAGAGAGAATACACGTGTTAGATAAGCTTCATTCAGGCATGAGTTACAGTGCTATTGGCCGAGTTCAATGTTAATGACTCAATAATATATTAACTAAGGTGCTTTTAAATAGAAACACACATGAAACAAGGGTATGTATTTGACCAGCTGATGAAGATGTTGTGACCAGAGGCTCACAAGAAAATAACCCTGTATTTTTTCCTAGAAGAATGATTCAGTATTTGCTAATTCAGTGTTCACTGCTACTTTATAGAATGTAACTACCACAAATAATGAGAATTGACTTTACTTTAATATTGTTTCCTAGAATAGCTGTACCATTTACACTCCCAGCAACAATGGACTATGTAGTTCCCATCTTCCCACATACTCACTAACATTTGATATTATCCAACTTTCTAATTTTTTGCCATCCTTAACAGGCTAAAGTGCTACCTCATTCCATTTAATCTGCATCTCTCTAATTACTAATGCATCATCTCTGTAAATACTTGTTAGCAACTAGCATTTACCCTTATGTGAATTGCCTATTGAGAACATTTGCTCATTTTCTTTGGAATTCCTGTATTATTTTATTGCCTTCAGGACTTCTCTATGTTTGTTCCTTGGCAACTTTAAATATTGCAAATATATTTTCAAACTTGTGATCTGTCCTTCATGTAGCAGACATTCTTAATTTTGATATACTCAATTCCATCACATTTTTTACCTTTTGGTATGTGAGTTTTAGCTTTTTCTTACAACTATTTCACCAGGATATTTCCCAACATTTTCTTTTCATTAGCTTCCTAGTTTTATCTTTCACATGTATACTTGAATCCATGGGGAATTCCTGTTGGTTTAACATGTAAGGTAGCAATTCTGTTTTATTTTTCTTCATGCTGAAAGCTATTTTTTTTCACAATCTATCTTTAAAAATCCGTTCTTCCTCATTGTTGTATAGTGCCATCTTTATTAATTTCAAATTCCTATACACCTTGTCTACTTCTGAGCTATTTAGTTCTATTATCTATTTGCCTATGGCTAGACCAGTACCATATTATTTTATTATTATAGCTTTGCAGTATGTCTTTTTA